TATATATATATATATATACATATATATATATAAGAGTTTATTTTTATCCACTCATTGTTTGATGGATATTTGGGTTGGTTACACAATTTTGCTGTTGTGAATTGTGCTACTATAATCATGCATGTGCAAGTATCTTTTTCAAATAATGACTTCTTTTCCTTTGAGTAGATACCCAGCAGTGGGGTTGCTGGATCAAATGGTAGTTCTACTTTTAGTTCTTTAAGGAATCTCCACTCTGTTTTACATTCCCACCGGCAGTGTAGAAGTAGTCCCTGATTGCCACATTCATGCCAACATCTACTAATTTTTGATGCTTTGATTGTGGCCATATTTACAGAAGTAAGGTGGTATCACATTGTGGTTTTGATTTGCCTTTCCCTGATCATTAGTGATGTTGAGCATTTTTTCTTATGTTTGTTGGACATTTGTATATCTTCTTTTGAGAATTGTCTATTCATGTCCTTAGCCCACTTTTTGATGGGATTGACTGTTTTTTTCTGACTGATTTGTTTGAGTTTGTTGTAGATTCTGGATATTAGTCCTTTGTCAGATGTAAAGATTATGAAGATTTTCTCCCACTTTGTGAGTTGCCTGTTTACACTGCTGACTGTTCCTTTTGCCATGCAAAGGCTCTTTAGTTTAATTAGGTCTCAGCTATTTGTTTTTATTGCTATTGCTTTTGGGTTTTTGGTCAGGAATTTCTTGACTAAGCCAATGTCTAGAAGGGGTTTTCCAATGTTATCTTTTAGAATTTTTATAGTTTCAGATCTTAAGCTTAAGTTCTTAATTCATCTTCAGTTGATTTTTGTATAAGGTGAGTGATCAGGACCCAATTTCATTCTCCTACATGTGGCTTGCCAATTGTTAAGAAGGGAGTCCTTTCCCCACTTTTTTTCCCCACTGTTTTCGTTTGCTTTGTCAAAGATCAGTTGGCCATAAATATTTGGGTTTATAGCCGTGTTCTCTATTCTGTTTCATTGGTCTATGTGCCTATTTTTATACCAGTACCATGCTGTTTTGGTTACTATGGCCTGATAGTGTAGTTTGAAATCAGGTCGTGTGATACCTCCAGATTTGTTCTTTTTGCTTAGTCTTGCTTTGGCTATGTGGGCTCTTTTTTGGTTCCATATGAAATTTAGAATGGTTTTTCTAACTCTGTCAAGAATCATGGTGGTATTTTAATTGAGAGTGCATTGAATCTATAGATTGCTTTTGGCAGTATGGTCATTTTCACAATATTGATTCTACTACCCATGAGCATGGGATGTGTTTTTATTTGTTTGTGTCATTGATTATTTATTTAAGCAATGTTTTATAGTTTTGTAGTTTTTTTGAGACAGAGTCTCACTTTGCCACCCAGGCTGGAGTGCAGTGGTAGTATCAGCTCACTGCAACCTCTGCCTCCTGGGTTCAAGTGATTCTCCTGCCTCAGTCTCGTCTCCCAAGTAGCTGAAACTACAGGCATGCACCACCAAACCTGGCTAATTTGTGTATTTTTAGTAGAGAGAGGGTTTCACCATGTTGGCCAGGCTTGTCTTGAACTCCTGATCTTAAATGATCCACCTGCCCCAGCCTCCCAAAGTGCTGAGATTACAGGTGTGAGCCACCGTGCCTGGCCAATATTTCTTAATATATGAGGCAACAAATTAAAAATTCAAAGCCATCTCTACATTGTGACAGGGTAGGTCTAATCAAACAGGATGATGTCTAGTACAGAATGTAGTAACAGGCTCAATGCAGGGAGATGTGCTATAGAAGTGATAAAGGCATGGACTGAAGTGTAGCTTTGGGATTCAAATGCTGGTTCTTCCTCCTACTAGCTATGTGACCATATGAACATAATTAAACTCTATAAGTCTCAGTTACTCCATCAGCAAAATGAGCAAAATAACAGTATTGCTTCACATGATTTCTAGGAGGGTTAAATAGTTCCTGATAAAATATTCAATGTAAATTATTTTAAATAATATAATATTTAAAATAAGTATTTAATAAGAGGATATGCAATCAAATAATAATGATAATTTTATAATGGGAATGTCTTACTTTTTGTTAGGGTCAGAAAGACTATTATAATATTTAAAAATTGGGAGATGTGCTTGGAGCTGCTAACATGAGAAGTACTTCCAGCTTTTAATTAACTTTCAGTGCAATAGAGCAAGTAGAATAGCTGCTGATAAAGTATATAGACATCTGTTCCCCAGGTCTCCAAAGTTTGCACCTGTACTTACTAGCTATGCGGAGATGGTGAGAATAGTGAGATGCTCAATATCTTGTAGGTAATGTTTGATGCAAGTGGAGATGTTTTGTATGAAGAAGGTTCAGAGGAGTAAAGTGGAGTATGAGGATCACTTTAAATATTTG